ATTTCATTGATTAGCCAGCAAGTACAGCAGAGCCACTGTAAAATGGGCTTAATTAAAAAAAAAAAAAAAAAAAGAAGTTCAGACTGTTGATTTCAAAGAAAAAATATATTTCTAAGCTCAAGATTGTGTGCGATTGTGAAATGCCAAAAATCAAAGATGCCCATATTTGTAAATTAGTGATTAAATAAAAACATTTGTAGTCTATTGTAATGGAAGTGGTTAAGCATGATTATGACAAAATGCCTATCTCAATAGATCAATTGTAATATATATGCTAATTTGCTCTCTGCTCTTTTTTTGACTCCTTACGCAAAACATTACTCAGCACGCACCCCCCCTCAGATCCAAAGTACGCACTAGAAATAGGAACCAAGATGGCGCCTCCTCTTCAGACAACACACCCAAGACGAAAGATAAACATCTTGGCAGGAAGTTATGCATAAATGGATCTAACCAATGATAAGCTAGAATATATAAACTAAAATACTTTTCTGCAGTGCTATGCTTAAATATACATGTTCAGCTGCTAGATAAAACCATGTGAAAAGCAGAAGAATAAAACAGAAGTGCCTTGCCCTGAGTGTCTCAGTGTGAAATTCTATCTCCTAGAGGGTATACTCTATTGAATCAGGCCAGGCGGCAGCTATAAGTACGGAACCTTTGATCCGATCTAAATTTGTGAGCAGGTCCAAAACACTATCAATTTAGTTAAACTAAAATGATGGTGCTACAATTATTGTTCTACCTCTGGCGTGTGCAGGGTACGTACATACATACATACACACAGCCATGGCCAAAGATATTGGCACCCCTGCATTTCTGTCAGATAATGCACAACATTGCACAGAAAATTGTTGCAATTACAAACGTTTAGGCCAGTGGTGGCGAATCCATGGCACGCGTGCCAGGGAGGGTACGCGAGGCCCTTTCTGCTGGCACGCGAGCCAAGGTTCAGGCACCACAACATTAAGGCAGCCAAGCTGTCTGTCGGCAGGCAGGCGAGCGTCGGCAGGTGGGCGAGCGAGCAAGAGGAGAAGGGGGACAGAGCGGCAGGGGGTGGAGACAGAGGGAGATGGGGGCAGAGATGAGGACGGGAGGAGACGAGGTACTGAGCTGCATGAGACAGGGGGCGGAGACAGAGTGAGATACGCCCAACTTTTCAGAGGGGGGGGGTGACACCAAAATGACTAAGTCATTTTGGCGTCACCCCATAAACGGTGTCACCCTGGTGCGGGCCGCCCCCCCCGCATTCCCCTTGTGATGCCACTGCATTTGTCTTTTGATACACAAGTCAGCACCACATTTGTTTATATGCAAGATTGACTAAATATTAGGCATTTTCCAGCAGAATGGTTATATTTCATTGATTAGCCAGCAAGTACAGCAGAGCCACTGTAAAATGGG